AGAACATCCAAAATCATAAACTCGCTTTGTGTCGCTCGTTAATAAGCAGTGGATTGCGGATTGAAAAACGAGTTTGTTTTATTAAATCGTATTTGTTTGTCTTGTGATAACGCTGCGATTGCACTTTTTCACCATGTAACGAGCGCGTTGTCTACCTATATCCTTCCACAGGGTACCTATAGGTTCATAAAATGACCATTTTTTTATTGACATTTTTTCCAAAATTGCAAGCATCGTTCCAATTTTCATAAGTATATCTGTGTTGATATGTATTATGTGTTGCCTATACGCCAGTCGTTATATGTCTAATATTTCTATTGTAGCTCATGTTTTATTTGTTAGCTGAAACAGATTTAGTTTTCAATTTATTTTTTTGCTACTGTGCTGCACCTCTACCTCGATCTTACCTACAACATTCCGATAGCTACCGCCCTCACACGTCGAACTACAAAATCAAAACAAAGACCATAAACTCTTATTTCCCGGTTTTCTCTTCTCCATAACAAACACTTGTTTGGTTGCCTCGCCGGTCCATTCGTAATATCGAATGCGGCAACTTGATCTGGAAATACTTTTACTTTAAGGGTTATTATCGCCTGTTTGCGGATACGGCGGAACGTAAGGGGAGAATGCATTAGCGCCAAGCTTTTAGTCGCGGTGAGAGCTGAACGACTTGTCTATAAAATGGAATGCACGTTATGAATTTTACGCTTTCGTTGTTTTTAGGTGACGGCGGCGTCGGAAAAAATTTATCGTTTCTATAATTTTCTAACTAGTTTTCGCTTCCACTTTTTCAAATAAAATCGCATAGGAGCTTTGACGTTAACAAGTTTACCAACCTCGACGATCAAAGAACTTTTAATTGGTGGTGTACAATTTCTGTTTGACAAAAAAAGAGTATGCGTAAACAATAAATGTCCCTACATTAAATGGCACTGATTTAAAACATTATTGTAAATTTCCGGCTTCGAGATGCCAAGATATAAATTTACAAATAATTCTCTTTTTTTAGTTGATGTATAAATTAACTCGAAGTAAATAAACGTTGAGAGCGCGGTCTCGTTGAAGAAAAAACTTTAAACGAGTTAATTGAATAATCCAGTTAAAATAGAAACTTCTTCAATTCGTTTGCTTATAAATTATCTTGGAAAATGTCATTTCCCGTATAGCACTAACGTAGACAAATTAAACTATCGTTAAATGTTTTTTCTTGTCCCTCGGTACATATTATTTTAAATTGCGCTCTTCCACCAGGTATCTATTTTTATATATCATCGATTCGAAGTAAGTACTTGAAAATAGGTAAATTATATACTGAACTTACCCCTCGTTCTCTGGTTTGTTAAAAATAACTATAATAATTTAAACTTTTCATATTTATGTTTGTGTATTAATGCATTATTGTGTTAAAGCATTATTGTTGCTATTACATTCACTTAATGTTCTATATGACAGATTGTAAATAAAGCGGGGCCGTAGCTAGAACGAAAATTGTAAGGTTGCAAACGACATGTTGGAGGGTGCACTTATTGTTTACAAAAATGAAGTCTCGAGAGACTTGTTTGTCAAAAAAGCAAAAAATATATTAAAAAAAACTAATTTTATCCAATATATATTATACTTATATTAAAAAAAACAAAAGATATAAATAATATAAAATAAACGTAACATAAATATAAGTCAATCGAATCAATATTTAAGCATACATAAAAATATTAGATAAATACAATTTATATTTATATAATACATTATATACAATTTATAACAATAGAAAAAAGCTGAAATATATATAGTTGCAATGCAACCTTCTCTGTTTGGCATTATGAAATTCTCTTAGAAGTGTGTTCATGTCTATATTTATATTTCTTTCCTTTTCGAATGTAATCAGCGATGTGGCCAACTTATGAAGCAAGAAACAAGCCTAGAGCTAGAATGTCCAGATTTCAGATATGTCTGAATCTGAGTTACTTAAACTTGTTACTTTTGAACCAAATTGCATAATTCTAATAACCATTATTGTACTCATACTACAAAATGTAGTATGTAGAGTAGGTGTTATAATTATCAAGAATAATCATTTTAATTCAATTTTATTGTAATAATTTATTATGAACAACAATAATATTGTATATTTGTGATAATTAATTTACAATGTACAAAAATAGCAATATTGTACATTTTTATTTTACGATTCTGATCGTGATCGGTCAGAGGGTGCCACTTAATATCCAGAGGGTGCCAGGCACCCTCTGGCACCCCCCTGGCTACGGCCCTGAAATAAAACTTAGAGATAAAAAAAATGTTTGTACCTATATTACTTATGCACTTACAATATCGTGTTTTAATTTGCCTTTTTTTGAGCCCCGAAAAAAAAATTGTCGCAGATCGACCCGGAAAAATATTTTCTTATAGAATGGGGCCTGTAGAATCCATAATTTCCAACAGTTCCATGATTGGGCTACTAGTTCAAAAGTTACAGCCCTTTGAATTTTCTTTCGAAATTGGTTTCTAGTCCACAACTTTTGATTGAGAAGTCTGATCGAGAAAGTACTAATTGTTTTGGATTCTACGCACCAAAAGTAATAAGAAAAGTGTTTTCCCGAGAAATTTTGGTGCAGTCGATTTTTGGTAAAAAAGGAAGGTAATACACTGCTTTTTTTTGAGCCCCGAAAAAAAAATTGTCGCAGATCGACCCGGAAAAATATTTTCTTATAGAATGGGGCCTGTAGAATCCATAATTTCCAACAGTTCCATGATTGGGCTACTAGTTCAAAAGTTACAGCCCTTTGTCGAAATTGGTTTCTAATAAGGAAGAAGTCTGATCGAAAAAGTACATTCTACGCCAAAATTAATAGTATTTTGAAAAACAAAATGAAATTTTGGTGTAGTCGATTTTTGGTAAAAAAAGAATCAGATACACTATTTTTTTTTTATGGCCCCTACTCAAATTGTCTCAGATCGACTGTCTGTAAACTCTTCAAGCTCTTCAAGATTCCTACCTACATACCTATAGGTAAGATTATTAAAAATTCTCTCAAAAGCTCTTAAAGACATTGTTAGAGGCTTTAAAGGCCCGCACTAAAAAAAATGGAGACCATTAACAACTCGCGGACAGAAAACTGTTGGTGATTCATGAAGACCTTCATCAAAAGTAATACTTAAAATAATCCAACGTTCTTAAAGTTATGTACAGACCTTTAAAAGCTTTTAAGGACTAATCATGGTTTTTATATACGTACCTATTCTTAAAAATTCTAAAATCTCGGGAAGACTCCCCCTTTTATCTATGCTTCTTGAAAAATGACAGTTCAAATTTTAGTGTAATAAATTGTGAATGGGCAGTTTAAATGTACCAGTGTATGGTATTTCTGAAAAGCATTTTTTAAGAGCTTTCCAATGGTGTATCACAAGTGATACGTCACAATTCAAAATTTAGGCATGGGGGCGGCGGGGGGTACGAGGTTGGAAGTTGGTTCCTTCTTTATATGACCATTTTGATTCCCCTCGATTCTACCGAAACGGTTTTGGCCATTTTGTGATACCTCTAATATAAAAAACGATATCGCCCATTGAAAGTTTTAAAAGTGTCACCCTGTATACTGAAATACTGCAATTAAATGTAAATTTTCCAATCAATGAATCAAAATAACCAAAATCCTTCGCTTGGATTCGATTCTTATTCATAAATGTAATACAAATCTATTCATGCAAATGGTTCTCATAGGTAGATTCCTTTAGGAATATTAAAAGTACGTCGAACAAAATTTCTTATGCAGATTCTTCAAAATAACTGACCACTACAAATCGACAAATTTTAAATAACTTACTCGGGTATCAATTGATCGTATCTCTTTGGAAAATGCCGCTTCCTTTAGAAATATGGAAACAGATCGCTTCGATGGTACAGTTGACTTTTTTGCACCACCACGCAAAGTTTGGCCGAAGAAAAGGTCGTGTGGATCGCAAATCCAAGCAAACCGGCTTCAATTTCGCGAAGGTAAAACTCGAGATCGTGATTATCCGACGGCCAATACTCTGCCGTGTTGATATTAATTTTGCTCAATTTTTCGATGGAAATTTCCCTTATGTGATGGTTTTGTCTGTCGGCCTGTCTAACTCGAGAACGAAAAGTGTCTGTAGACCTGTGGGCGCAGTTCAGTTAAAGCTGGACTGTGGTGCTAAGGGTCCCTGGTTCGAATCCGGGTTCAGGCATGGATATTTGTAAATGTATAGTGGGTTGGGTTGGTAGAGCAGCCTTGGCTGAAACCCCGCCCACTCGAAAATAAAGGCAAAATAAAATAAATCGTATCTTGTTTTATTATGCGTCAACGATTTGTACGAAGTTAGTCGTAGTCGTATGCGTCGCTAATAAATTGGTAATACATTTAGTATATCATATATGTGCTTTATAAATATAATAATAATAATAATTTATTGTCTAAACAGAATAGTTCCATAAACTAGGACAATATTAGATAAATATGTACATAATAGCCGAAAAAAAACATTAATCATGAAATACCTAAGCAAAAAAAATTACAATTATTTTAGTTAATATACAGGGTGTTGTATAAACTAAGATGCGGTATTTTGAGATTTTGATCGCAATGTACCTTCTACAAGTTTGCGTTCACTTTTCGGACATCAAGCATTTAATTTACAACGCCCCATGCAATGGATGAAAAGACTCAATCATTGCCGACCCTTTTCTATTTTATTATTTTTCTTCTTCATTTACCCCTTTTAGATTCAATATACAAAATGTATCCTTGTTGAATTGTTACGGATAAAGTTCCATCGATAGAGACATAAAAAATCAACGACGCGTACATTACGAAATTGTAAAATATCTCTGACCCCTCGGACTTTTAAATCAGAAATTTTATTAGGGAAGATTGACTTTCGTGCATTATTAACCGAACGTCCTTTCGAAGTGGATGCTCCTACATTAAATCTTCGAACTCGAAGGACCGTAAAATAATCCTAAACTTTTCTTGCAGAAATTGGGAGATTGCGAGGACGCCTTGCCGACCGATCCCCTGGCAGCATCCCTGATGCAGCTGGTTACTACCGTCCTCGGCAATACGTCGAAGGTGGTACAGCAGGCGCGCGTGCAGGACGTCGTAAGGTAAGTGAGTTGTAAACTTCTCTCGCGTCGCGTTTATTTATTATAGATAGATGATGCGTCGGTGTGGTGCAGTTTATAGAGGGGCGATGAGGGTAATAATGATAATGCGAATCGAATAAGTAACTAGCCGTATCGGATGAGCGGTGACATGACAAGTAAGCAATGTTGCACGCCCTTATCTGGTCATCTGCACATCTGCCGCATTTTATACCGTACGGTGTGTGTCTCCTGGGGGTTTACGTTCCTTTTTTTTCCGAACTCTCCCGCGAACGTTCGACAGGACACGTTTCTTATTTACCCGGCCCGCGAAACTAAAACGTCACGGAACGAAATAAATGAATTATAAAATAGATTCTGATTGAAACATCACGCTGCGCTGTGGGCTATCAAAGTAAAATAATCGGGGATTATCATTGTTTGCAGATGTCAGAGGATAGACGGGGTGGCTTACATGGGGTAGCCAGGGGTAACTGTACCTATACATGACATATGCATTGTATGTGAGAGCGCGCACCATGTACGTAGCGTGCCGAGGGTTGCGCTTTTTGCGTCGACATACGGACAAGTTTTCAAAACCCAATATTCGATACTGGGTTTATGGCTTGACAGTTTTATTGGCAGGTTGAAATTGCATTTTCATTTTTTTAGTCTACCAACTTACTTTTGTGAATATCTTCCATGCCTTAGGTACTGTAGGTTGTATAGAGTGCTATTCAGAAGTGGACATAGGGATTTATATGTATTGTTTTTTCCTATGTCTACTTTTAAATGACAAAATCTCTTTTGAAAGTCGCCTAATTGTATGCAACCAAAATAACTTCTTAAAACAAAGATCTGGCCGTCACCTCTTGGGCCCGGTGTACTTCTTAATAAATATCACTGTATACAAAACGAAACAGGTGTAGTAGCAATTTTTGCCCTCTGTATGCTACATTTTTGACGCAATCACAAAGGTTAACGACTAGAAATTGATAAAATTGACAATGCTTTTTTTAATGAGGCCTTCTTTGAACTTTCAAGCCTGCAGTTCACTACCAACAAAATTTAGTGCAAAAGTAGCACCTGGACATTCATTGGCAACTTATAATGGCATGGAAGCGAGGCTTTTCTCTATCCTCTCTATCCTCACTGTCTATAAACAATCTTTACAACTGCCCTAATGCAGTTCACAATGATTTAGAAAAGTAT